GGGGGGGGGGGGGGGGCGAACTACGGCGCGCGCGGTACGACCTAGATTGCCGCCGAGATCCGACAACTACTCCGGCGCGAACTTTGACATGCCCACGTCGTGTCGTTCACGCGTGACGCTATCGAACGCGGGGCGTTCATGTGTCGCGTTTACACGTGCCGTGCGCGGATAGTTGCGAGTGTCGATTATGAAGTTTCGATGCGTCCGGCCGGCGACAATGAATCTGTCGGTTCGCAGATCGACCGGAACGCATTACCCGCGCACGGCCGTGCGGCGGGGGTGTGGGAGGGGGAGTCGGGGGGAAAGACTTCCCGATTTTCTTTTATAAATGCGATTTTAGCCGCCGTCACGACCAGCCGAATCGCCGCCGATTATTCTCCCGCGCGTTTATTATTATTATTATTATTATTATTATTATTATTATCCGATGCTCGAGATTGTTAAAGGGACCCCCCGTGCGCGCGTTTCACGCGACTCGTCGTCTCCTCGAGTCGAGTCCTTCCTCCCTCATTCCCCCTCGGTCTGTTTTGTTTTTACTTTTGTTCTTTGTTTTTCTCTTATTCTTGCGTTACTTTCCGTACGGTCTGATACTCCGTTCGCGTTTCAGTTTACGTTACACTGTGCACGCTGGAGGGGAGAAAGAGCGCCTGACGTGCGTGAAACGGTCAGCTGGAAAAGGGGGCGCGTGTGTCAAGCGCGCTCGCGCGCGCGTAAATACACGCGGACACGCACCGGTTACCGCTGAGAGAGACGGGGGTTTCGGGAAAAAAGTTAATTTCGTTTTATCGCAGCCTCAAAGGGATTCCGCTGCGCGGCTCCGGCGCACAGGTAGCGCGCTCGATTCCTTCGGCGTCCTTTTTTCGCGGCTCGCTCGCGATATAGCGACCCCTTTGAGCGGTGGCTTCGCTTATCGTGCCTCATCGTGGCGGAAACGACGGATTTTCGCGGGGGCCCCGGCGCCTTTGCCTGCGGAAATCCTCGTCTGCTTGGAATGTTTCAAAACTCTCGGGCGGTTCGCCGCAATTTATGCGCCCCGCCACTATGAGCGATTACCGGGGTCGTCCGCGCCCGGGGACGACCTTTCCGAGCTCCTCGGGGTGTCCGAAAACGGGACGGCCGTACAGACAGACCGGGGGAAGTGTCGTCCGGATAATGAATTATCCGATCGCGATATTTAAACACAGCGGAGGCACCACCGCACGATTCAATTTACCCGCGGCCATAACGGAGCGCCCAATTATAACTGGGAGCGTGCTCGCAAGTCTTTTCCCCCGCGATCCATTTTCGCGAGGGCGCGAGAAACGACGGTCCGAAGAGCCGAGGAGAACGAGCGAGAAAAGAAGGTATGAACGAACGAACGAATGCGAGCGAGCGAGCTCGCGCGCGCGCGAGAAGTCAGAGGGAAACTCGGTTTCCCGGCTTTCGTCGGAGCACTGTCGGAGGAAGCTGTGCGGAAGCTATTCGAGATCTCACTCTCCGCTCGGCGCGTCACGTTCCGAAGAAGCGCTTCACAGAGCAGCAGCGGCAGCAGCGACGACGACGTCGACGCGCGCGTTCCATCGCGTATTCGCGACACCCCGACGACGAGCCACCGACTGCATCCCCGCTCGGCCCGATCGCGCGATCATCACTCGCTCGATCTCGCACGCGCGCCGGCTCGATCTGCGGCCGCGATCACGCGATCACGAGGTCGCGTGAGCGGAAGGTCGTGGAGGCACGCGCGCTGCTCTCAGGGCGACAGCCCGCAACCAACTGTGGCTCCTCAGCCGCCACCCTCGTAGTTCCGCCACCCACCGCAAGCCCGAGCAAGGGTGGCCTGGCGCTTTGCACGCGCTTGGCGCGCACGGATTACGGCTGCCGGAGATGTCTATCTCTCTCTCTCTCTCTCTCTCTCTCTCTCGCTTTTTCTCTTTCTCGTTTCCACGACCGCGATCCCGCTCGGCTCCTCTTCGTCCGACCAGCTACTCCACCCGCACCTGCTCGCGACCGGGACCAGGGGAGACGACCCGCTGTGTGTCTACCCGGCCCGCAATTTTTCCTGCTCCGCCGTTCATCGTGATAATCTCGCCCGGAGAAATTGATAATCCGCCCCGGTGGAGCACAGAGGCGGCCAGGCGGGCGAAACGTGAATTTTCTGAAGCTTATCCGGGGGCAGGATCGAATATGTTGGCTCAGGCCGATGAGGATTCGTTGTTTCTCCTCCGTCTGTTTTCTTCCGTCCTTCGGTTTATCCACCTCTCCGGCGTTACTGCACGTGTTAACGGCGGGAGGAGACTAATCGCGGAGCAACGCGAGAACGAGTGAGGGGGGAAGGGTAGATTGGATTTTTCTCGAGCGACCGGGAGAAGTTACGAAGCGTCGCCTCGCGAATGCAGGATGCAGAGATACGTGGTGTGCGCGCGCTCGTATCGGGAAATGCCGAACGACTGGAAACATCTCTCGTGATTCTCTCTCTCTGTGCGACGTTTAACGACTCTCGGTGCCGAGCCGCGAGAATCTGTGCAGGGCATTTCCATTATTCGTGTTCACGCGCGGCGTATTCATTCCGTCCTTATTTGAATTTCCGCCCGCATCCGTGTCCTCTCTTTCCCTTTCTCTCTGTCTCTCTCTCCCTCTTTCTCTTGCTTTCTGTCTCACTGTCCCTACCTCTTTCTCACTTAACGCATTGTCTCGTAAATGCCTAATTGTTGAACGACAGAGAGAGAGAGAGAGAGAGGAATATGCGAAGAGAGCGTCGGCACGTAGGCGATTCTCGTGTCTGCCCTTCTTCGTGGCATGTTTTTATAAGAGAGGAGGAGACGCTTTAATCGCTTCGTGCTGCTGACATCTCGTGAAAGCTAACAAGAAGATGGCTGAAGAACTCGCGATAACTCGACGGCTCCTCGAACGGACGTCGAACCAACGAGGCCTTCCAAGTTTGCACGAAGTAAGAAACGTTCTCGCCACGTTTGATACAAACATCGGCCGGCGTATTTGTCTCCGCCGAGGAGGATCGCCGATCGCGATAAGGGCATCGTCTGAGAAACGACTTGAAGTCAGCTTTGAAAGTAATCCTGGAGGCGATCCAGGATCTCCGCGATGAATAATACAGTCTAGACTGTAAAAGAGACTGATGTAATTATGTTTAACTTATTTAACTGTCGCGCGAGAAAAGAGGAGGAAAACGGTGATGATTTATGTGGGGGGGAGTTGACTCGAAGATGTTACTTAAATCGACCATTTTAAAATGAGAAAGTGTTACAGTCTCTTATTCGTCAAGCCACTCTGTAAAGTGCTATCGGTGTATTATCACCGAGAAGCAGTCGATAATCAACAATGATCATGTTGTAAGTACAGCATTGGAAATCAGTAAAATTTCGCCGCAACAATCTGTTAAAGCGGCAGTTGCTTCCGTCGGAGAAATTTAACTGCGGAAA